AAAAAAATATATAAAAATTATAGTTACTTTACAAATAAAAATAAAAAAAAGAAAAAACATACAAGAGTAGTATTAAGTAAAAGTACTCTCTATGTATATATATATATATATATATTTATTTAGATAATGATCCTATAAAATGTGATGCATTAAATGAGTATAATCAGCTCTTCTACTACCAACTGCTATATTTAAATGCATCGTACATGTTCCTGCATCAATAACAATTGTCAGATAGTGTAATATATACATCAATAGACCACTTTGGCTGCATAGTGAGTACTTTTACTTAATACTACTCTTGTATGTTTAGTGAAATAAGATTATTATTAATATATTAGTATTTTTTAAATGGTGGTGTTTCTACTCTCCCTGGAGTAAACGCTCTCAGTACTTCCTCCACAGTGTGTGAATGAGGTCAGCCAGACCAAATCACCTTGGTGGAGGTGTCGCTCTGTGTCAGACTCGTGGGGGCGCTGTTGTTGCTGTTGCTGCTGCTTCTGTTTCCGTTCCTGTTGTTCTGCTCGCCTTCATCGCTCTTCGCGTCCTGTTCGACAGACCACAGATCAGTTTACACTTTCATATTCCGGTGCAATGTGGGCTGAAACTTCGGGTTGTTTCCCCTCTAGTGACACCTGTACACAGCCCCCCAGAGTTCACAAAATATGATGTTTTGTTGTAGTTTAAACAAACCAACAGTACACCGGAAATGATTAGTTAAGTTATGCATGAGTAAATCTTAGCGTCTAGACAAAAATAAGCAATAGTTTTAGTGACATTTTAGTCATTTTTATCCTTCATAGTTTTAGTTGACAACACAAAGTCAACTTTCAGTCAAAATGTTTTCTCTCTAAATTTTGTGGTTTCTTTTTTTCATTTAGTCTCAGTCCTGTTTCAAATGTTCTTTTTTCATCAGATTATATTGAATATTTCTGAATAATCTAGTTCCAGCCAAAACAATTTACTGTTAAAATAAGGAATATTAGTCCAATAATGACCGATAATCTTTTGGGGGGAACATTGTCACTGTTTCTGAGTGAGTGAGCGAGCGAGTGAGCGAGAGAGAGAGAGATCCCCAAAATAAATGATCCATCGAAATATTCACACGAGATATCAATGTGACGAGTGTCTGAAAGTGATTATGACTAACCTGCGGGTCCGATGACAGGTGGAGGGTCAGGCTGTCGGGGGGGCGAGGTTCGTCTGTGGGGACGGAGACGCCGAGAGGAGCTGGAGAGACGGACTGACACAGAAGAAGAAGAAGAAGAAGAAGAAGAAGAAGGAGAATACATGCAGGTCAGTCTACGGTTGCCTCTCCGTCTTTAATCCAGAGTGACTCTCAGGAATGAGAGTGTCAGTTAAATGGAGAGTGAGAGTTAAATTGAACGTCAGGTTTGACGTCTTGTCTTGTTTCTTAACCTCTCCTGACAGAGTGTGTTTGGTCTGAGGCCAGTAAATAACTTTCCCACCAACAGTTTGAAACCGCTTTAAAAGAAGAGATAAAAGAGCGACTGGAAACAACAAACTGTGTTTTATACATTTCTGTTTGTGTTGAGATTAGCATATTACACACATATTAACCAGCGAACTTTAGAGCCAGGCTAGCTGTTTCCCTCTGCTTCAAGTCTTTATGCTAAGCTAGGCTAACCACCTCCCAACTCCAGCTCTGTACCTGTGCGACCTACAGAAGTACAACAAACGTTACAAATATTAATTACACTATTGTGGACTAATGAATGTCAAAATATAGGAAGGAAAAAAAAGTCATAGTATAACATGTTGAAAAAGTCATAATAGTATACATAAAAAGTAACAGCATAATATGTCAAAATGGTTATATCATAGTACATCAAAAAAGTCACAGTATAGTAAGTCAATTTAAGTCATAGTACATTATGTGAAAAAGTCACAAAATACTCAAAAAATGTCATATTGTAAGTCCAACAAATGAGGCATGTTATAATAATAAACAATACATTTTTATGTTTCACACCTGGAGCTCAGTTAATTGTTGTCTTTACATTCTGGTCACACTGGCTTACAGACTGACATGTAACTCACTGATTGGACAGTTTTGGTGACGTCATCATCAGCACCCACATGGGCAAATCATATTGTGTTGGACTGACAGCAGCTCCGTCTGCAGTTTTATGTTCCTGACGTATTTATGTGTGTTCTCCGGAGTTAAAAAGAGACAGAAGCTTGTGGACGGTGATGTGTGTCAGTGTTAAAAGAGTGCGTTGTTACCTTGGGGCTGATGGGGCTGAGGACAGGGGGAGGAGGGGGAGGAGGGGGAGAGGCGAAGGGGGGGACGGCCATCTGGTTTATAGCATCCTCATTTCTACGGAGAGAGACAGAGAGAGACATCAGTGCAGTTTGGGCTGCAACACGAAAAACCAGAAAAGAAGCAAGAAAAACACATTTTCTCATCAGCAAGGAACTGATGGAATTATTAATGCAGAGTTTCACCACCTGAGACCCTCCCCCCCTCTCTAGCATAAACACATGTCCGCTCGGTGTTTCATTATGTCCCTGTGAGAGCGGATCAGTCACAGAGCTGCAGCTGATCTGCGGCCTGCAGCAGCAGTGCAGATGAACGTTCAGCTGCAATAATACGACTGCTGCACAACCACAAACCTAAGATGGAGACCTGTTTTTAACATTCTGATTCACGTTTTTTTATGGAGGTGGAAGCACTTCTTGTGTTATATAATTTTTGTCCTATGCATTGAATGTGCTGTAACTCTGTTATGTTGTTCATTCTGTACACATGACATCTATTGCATTTCTGTCCATCCTGATAGAGGATGCCTCCTCTGTTGATCTCTCTGAGGTTTCTTCCTTTCTTTTAAAGGTTTTTTTGAGGGAGTATTTCCTGTACCGATGTGAGGGTCCTGGGACAGAGGATGTCGTATGTGTACAGATTGTAAAGCCCTCTGATGCAAATTTGTAATTTTGGGCTATACAAAATAAATTGAATTGAAACTCACAAAATTGCCTTTTAAATGAATCTAGTGTGAAGTCAGAGACTTTTATTCATTCAGAGATCTGATTCACAGCATCAGTCTGTTTTCAGGTTTCTGGTCTTACTTGAGTCAGCACCGGCTGGGACTGAAGACTACAAGTTTGAAGAAAAAAAAATCATAAGTTGTGGAGTTAGAAAGGGCCTCTGTAGCTGTTAGCTGCTAGCATAGCACACCACAATCCCACACACAACATTCACTGGAGAACGTTGCCTTCAGAGCTTTCTGCCATAAATCCCCTCAGGTTTAGGGCAACAAAACTTTCTTAATGCAAACTTTTCCTATGTGCACACACGGCTCCCGTCCAGCTGAACTGTGGGCAATGTAGGCGCGAAGAAAAATAGCAGGGAGAGATGGCAAAAATATTCAGACACTCATTCTGTCAGGGACGCTGGGTGTCCACTATGACTCGCTACATGGGATAAAACCAGCAGCGACGGATGCTGGTGTTGGTCCCCGAACGCCTCATGTCTGTTGGGTCTGATCCAGGCGGCAACCTCAGGTTGTGTAGAAGGAAGTGTCTTAAAACTTGCATTATAGCTACTGACCAGCAGGGGGCGACTCCTCTGGTTGTATCGAAGTCTGAGAAAATGACTTTACTTCTCTCTTGATTTATTACCTCAGTAAACATTGTAAACATGAGTTTATGGTCTCAATCTCTAGTTTCAAATCTTCTACAATACAGCATGATGTTCATTTAGTAAATGATGGTCCATTTAGAGTCAAATAGACCATAAAGCAGGGTATGCTTTAGGGCGGGGCTTACTGTGATTGGCAGGTCGCTGCCACTACCAGAGCCTTATCCTCCTCTATGTCACTCCTCCACATTCCAAATATGGTAATCTCCGTTCATTGGTAGCAAATAACCAAGAACATGGCAAGGGCCGTAATCCAAGATGGCAACGGGCGAAATTGCCAAACTCAAGGCTTCAAAACGGCAGACCACAACCCAATGGGTGACGTCACGATGACTACGTCCACTTCTTATATACAGTCTATGGTCGGATCATTACTGGGCTAATGGCAGGGAGTCTGACCTTTATGTCTTCATCCTGCTGAGCACCTTCATCTGTCAAAGTTCACGAAGCCCAAGGATGAGGAACGATGGGACAAAGACGGATGCTGACTCAGACTTCCTTTCCTCCTCCCAGCAGCAGCTGGTGACTCACTAAACGCTCCTGATGGGAACATCGCTGTAATCTAAACTGAACAATCACACGGCTGAGGGAGAAATTATATTTATCAAATCGGGTATCTCATCAGCAGGAACAACAACAAGAAGCTTCTCAGGCAATGGAGCGGAAAACCAACAACGCATCCCCGAAGTGTGCCGACGGACATGAAGGAGGATGCGATGAGGGAGATGAAACCCGGAGTGTTTAAGAAGACATCTGCTACATGACGACATATGGTGCGAGTCCACCACATGGGACACTTCAAATCCTTCTGCGGTGGAGCCGTCTGACGCCGGAATTGTTTGATTCGAGGCTCTGGCGCTAAACGGAGCCATCTGTGGAGCTCCAGGATGAACATCAGAGAGGACCGAGATGGAGGATTTTTTTGTCTCAGAGTCTCATTCTGCTTTCTTATTTAGACTGCGTCATCATTAGTGCTTCTAAACTCCACTTCACAGAGATCACCTGTCAATCAAACGGCGAGGGAAAGATTATCTGGAACCAGTAAAACTAATAACAGAGTTGAGTGCAGTATTGCTGCGTGACTAGAGGAGCGATGAACAATGAGGGTGAAAAATGACCAAACAATTAGAAATATCTTTAGGAGTTATATGAGGCGTTCAGGGTCACTGAATATTAAGGGAAACGTCAGCACTTTTAACGTTTGATGACAGAAACGTTCCAATCTGACTTCTCCACTCCTTCGGGCTGAACACGCAGAGCGATCGACGGATCAACAACACCCTTCACTTCCTTTCCTTCATCTTCAGAGAGCTTTAAAATGGTTGAGTATTTTAAATATAAGACGGAGACAATACATTTAAGTGGAAACCTTTCTGATCACCTAAATCAGCACCACATCACTGACTTATTGTCTGCTCTCTAATAGAGCAGGAAATTATGCCTGAAATTATGGATTGAACGTCATCAGAGAGAATCATTATCAGCCGTTCTCCATCAAAAGGCACCGTGATTATTATCATCCTCTATGGTACGGCCACAAGATGCTCCAGTTTCTCAATCTGATTTAACTTCTTCTATGACAGCATCAATGATTAGATGAAGATTTCCTCACCTTCAACTTGCATCACAACTCTTACTGAACAGAGATTAAAGGGATACATTGATGAGGAAGAAAGACAACCAGAGTTCACTGAGAGAAGCAGACTATAGGATCCGGTCTGCAGCTTATTCACCGTCTTAAAGTCCTGCTCTGCAGACAATATCGTCAAAAAACAAAAAGCTCTGACAGTCTAAGTCAAAAAGCTGGCCCGGTGTTATTTTGCTTGGGGTTTTCATTTGAAACCAAAAAAAAAAAAAACTGGATTTCTGTACCTTACCCATCTCTTACAATCTAGTTGCTCTACAAAGGGATCAATACAAAAAACAATATATTTACAGTTAACTCCAATATAATGCCAGACAACTGCCACAAGAGGACAGTCAATATTTTTTTAAACAGTTTTCATCATGGCCATAAGCTTAACCTTAGTTGTGGCAAATCAGGAAATGCTAATATAAATAATTTTTGTAATTTATGATTTTGAAGCTCAGTTTTCATGATGTGAAAGTTATGGACTGGATTTGATTTTACATCATGTACAGAGACTTACGTACGAAAGCTTAACTCCTGACATAAATGTGGGGGTTTGTGGTTTAAGATGTAGAAATATTCAGCCTATGTAAATATTTGTTTTAATTATTTTGTGAGTTGTTTCTGTTTTTGTGTGGTGGGGATTTACCCCAACCATTTATTTCTATAATGTCTTTTATACTTTTTACTATAACACACATGTAAAATGTCATTTGTAGCCATACATCAGCATGATAAGAACTACCTAAAATAACAGAAACCATCTTTGGGGAGACTGCATTTGACGTGTACTTGGGTTTTTATGTTTGGCCCATGTCTCATCTTTAACATACCGTATAGGGGGCGGGGTTTATGACCTATACTGCAGCCAGCCACCAAGGGGACAATCGAGATGTTTTGGCTTGGGGAGCTGTCATGTTGTCCATCTTTATATACACAAAGCTCAGACAAACCTGAATGGCTGTGAAAGGAAGAATAATCTATTCCTGCGCTCCAAGCTTTGTCTTCTCTTGCTTCATTCCATCTGTCCTGGTCCCTCAGTATCTCCACCCTTCGACCATTTATTTTATTTTAATATATATATTACCTTATTGTCCTTGCCCAGTATCTGACCCCTTCGCGATGAACCTTTAATGTGTCCTTGGTGCAAGTGAAGCCGTCAGAAACTGGAATTTATGGATCAGTCTGTTACTTCCTGCTTCAGTCACGCAAGACAGACACCGTCAGCCAATCATCCACCTGAACAGGTTAATTAGTTTAACATTCACTCTTTAGATGTTCCGCTGAGAGGCCTCAATACTACAACATCCAGATGATTGATCTGATACCGTACCAGTGGAGTCATACATGTACAAGTTTTTTTCTGAGGGCGGTGCTAAAAGGACACATCACGGCGTCACATATTTTAAATTATCCTCTGAGGAGCAGGACTGAAATCAGGACATTTCTATGTAAGTCTAGGTATATTATATATGACCACCTGACTAAAGCGGAGCAGGAAGGAGAGCTAGTTAGCTGTTAGCAGCCAGTGGGAGTCATACGTGTCTTTGGCTAACAGAACTAAACACACAGCAGGACTGACAGTTTCAGTTCAGAGGAAGTTTTAAACAGTCAACATGATGCATTACACAGTGAACTGTAGACTGCTGCATAGATTCAAATGAGTGTCATTGCTTAATTGTGTTTTTTATTCATTCAATCAAACATTACAGCAATGGTCAATGCAGACACACCTACAGGATATCTGCATTTTGTCTGTCTTCGACACTTGCACTACTGTCTGTTCCCAAACCATTTCTTTTGTTGTTGTTTCTATGTCGACTCTTCTGTGAGTCTTTTTTTTTTTTAAACATCTAAAGTAGTTCAGGCTAAATCCATTCAAATGGATTATTAAAACTGGATTTGATGGTGATTTTAAATGTGCCCGGTGCATCCGTCTTCTGTCGATAATGGGAGTAACATGATTGATCTGGATATAAACTATTTCATGTCTTAGATTCTAATTAGATTATATATTTAGGTGATTTTTAACTTAATGTTGTAGGAACAT